TGCAAACGAATGCCACAAAAACAATCTTTGTTGAGGCTTGTTAAATGAAAACATAATCCCTGCAGAGCCTTGCTTTCCTTTGACTTACCTGAAGAACTGGAAGATAACTCAAACCAGGACTACCATGGACAGACAGAAATGGCTCAAAACAAAGTGGCAAAACAAAAACACACATATGTTTTGCCCTTACTGTGTTCCCTAACAACATGCTGCTGGTTTGTATCACTAGCATTTTGCTTGGAATGTCACTTCCCAATTTTCTGCAAGAGTCTGAGTCAAGTCACATCAGCCCAAACAGGATATTTACTAGTCTTCTTAATCTAAGAAATCAGAGCTCACTAAACACTGCTTTTCACACATACTGACACACATCTGTAGCACCTGGAAGCTCAGGATTGATATCCTGCACATGCTGCTGTAGTGCGAGCCTCTCCCAAGGCCTTGGCCTTAACAAATACATCACTGAGAAGGGGAGTGATTTCTGGGCTTCTTTCTGTGCAGAGATGTCAGGTTTCCACAGAGGGAGCCAAGTGCTCTCATGTACACTTCCAGAGGGATCTTAGAAAAAGTGTAAAGATGTAATTGTCAGAACAAAGACAAGTTCTTAGGCAAACAGCAAGGGAAAACCATGTGAAGGAGCAGGATAGATACCGCACTTTCACTCTGACGTTAAGTGCAGTGGATCCACAGGATGACTTCGCTGATCTGTCGCCCCCCTGAGACAAGTTGTTGGGGTAACTAAAAACAGCCTTGAGAAATTCATCATTTCTTTACTGTGCTATGTTTTGCAATGTTTGATAAACTTATCTCCTGTCATTCAGTTACATTAGTGATTTTTAATCCTTATAATTTCTCACCAATGCATGCAGTTAGAGTTAAAAAAAAAAAAGGTAGCACCTCTCTTTTAGGAAACTGGAATGATAGATTCTTAGTGAGCTTCCAGTGCCCTTTCATCAAAGAAAATACATAACACCAATCAATTATTCATCTGAGAACAATCATTGCATTTGCTCAGAGACAGGTCAGGAGTTTGACGGCAGCCATCCTGGATTTCCCTTGACCCCACCTGGGTGCAAATACATAAGTGTCACAGCAAGAGCTTCAGGTGCTTGTGTAGGGTTTCACCTGTCTGCTTTGTTGGATCTAAGTAGGACAAGTTGAGTTTGTTACCTGACAGATGGAAGTGTGAGCATCAGCGCTGACAAAAAGCTCTGGAGAAATCCTTTTTCCTTAGTCCTTCATTTAAAAAATTGTCCATGAGTAATTCATTTCAAGGGCATTAAAGAACTAGATTTTAGTTTTGGAAACTCTGCAATAAAAGCTGACGGTTTTATAAAAGGCTTTATAAAATTTGGCGTACTTCAGATCTCTATGGATTACAGTCAGTTGGTTGGTCAATCAGTTCTTTGATACACTGGACACTTGTGTTTCCTAGGGGATGTACCCTACTCATTTTGTTACAGACTTCATTTAGCTACATCAGCAGGTACAAGTTTTCACTTATTTGGTGAAATACGCCCAAATCTACCAAATGGACTGGTGCCAAAGTTTATACCGACATTTGTGGTTCCAAGAGGATGAAGCCCAATGACTCTGTTATCCTTTAACGTCTTTTAGCATGGCCATGTGTCGACATGTCTCAACAACAGCCAAGTAGATTCAAGTGAAATCTGGAACAGATCTCAACAACAACCGAGTAGATTCAAGTGAAATCTGGAACAGACATTCACATCCCACACAGGAAGAGCTGCAATATGACGATCCCTTATCACCGCATGAGGTCAGAATTTGTCTGATACTTTGGTTTGCAACCAAATATATAAAACTACTGACATTCCCATCAGTATCAACTGAATGTGTTTTAGTGTTAAACAGATTTTAGCATACCCAATCTAAACTAAGATGGTAAACATGAAAACATTAGCTCTCAAAGTTCAGTATAACATTAATACGACATTAGCATTTGTTGCTCAAGTACAGCCTCACAGAGCCACTAGCATGGCAGTCAAACACTCCAACTATTATCTGGTTCCAGTTCATCCATCCATTTTTTTTTTTTTTGCCTAAAAATGACTCCTTGTCATAGGTAGATTGTTTATGAGCTGTGATTCTTTCCACCTAAACTGTCTCAGAATGCTTCATTTAAGTTCATTTTTCTTCTTCCAATTCAGTTACTCATCTTATGAGCCCTGTGGATTTAGCCTCTGAAAAGTCAGGAGTGTGTCGAAACCACATAGTCGGTGTCCGCAACTCCACGGGTGTCACAGCAAGAGCTTCACTGGGTCGGGTACGGTTTCACCTGTCTGCCTTTCAGACCTAGATCTGAACAGGCAGAGGAGAATAGACCTATAGAGCCCTCTCCTTTTCTTCCCCTCCCTCTTTTCCTTTCTCTCATTCTCTTTTCTTCCTACCTGGATAATCTCCTCTCAGGTTTAGGATTCCTGGTCTGGGCTCTTTGAGGAGAAGGAAATATGGGGATGGGTAAACATCAGGGCTCTCACAGCAGGGATTACAACACCCATATATCACTGTGACATCTACCTTTTCAGCAGATGACAGGTCGCCAGGACCCTGTGCGAGGAGGGATCCAATGACACTTCCTATCGCCACTGCAGACACCGACAGCGCATACCGTCACCATTTTCACAACATCATGTCAGTTTATGAGGATCCACTGTCAGGATATTCTTAGCCAACATCTTTAGATCAGTTTGAGGTTTTCACACTATATTTGCACCTGATGTTTGGCTTGTGGGTATCTTCAGAAAGGCACCATACAAACACAAGAAGTGCTTTGATCGTGTCCTTTAGGGGAGACGGCTGTTTATTGTCTGTGACATCTTTTCCTCTTGATGAAGCAAAGTGGCACACATAGCAACATGCTGCTGGACACATTATGCCTCATTGGGTGGGTGTTACTCTAAATAATATGAGACCACAGTCAGGCCCCATTTGAGAAAACTCACTTTTTATCCAGAAAGACATCACTAAGGTTCAATGAGGGGGATCATTTTCCCAAACTCTCTGGACGAATACAATTCCATGTGCTCATGCATTTTAGCTGTCAGAGATTAAAATTCAATTAGCCAAATGACCGCTCTTTTCCAAAGTAGTGGGTGCGTCCAATAATTCCTCAGACTGATACATAATAAGGAGCAAGGGACACTTGGTCTCCTCGGTGTTCTTCTCACTGGGGTGCGGTTGACAACAACCAGTCATGTCAGAGCAGATGAAGAAATCATTGAGGGAGGAACAAAAGGCACTCAGAGTTTATGTGAACTGTCAAATGTCATAGAAAGTATACATGGTATACAAATTATACATACATACATACATACATACATACACATACACATACATACACATATATACACACATATATATATATATATATATAACAACTGTTTAGTAGTGTGGAAAACACACAACAGCCTTTATGTGACCAAACAGAAAATGAATCATCTTCTGAAAGGTAAAACCGCTGAGTGTAATGGTAAAGATACCTCGGCTACATCAGTGATCATGTAATTACAGTGCCAAACACCAGGTCAGGTGTTATCTATTTAAAGAATATTTATTGTTCGTCATATGTTTAAGTAACAAAGGGCAAACACAAAAGAATATAAGAAAAACCTTCACCTATTGGACTGATTGCCTGAGAATGTTAACTATGTCTGCATTATTGCCTGCTGTAAGATATTTTTTTTAAATTAAAACCAAATAAAACAAACGTAAGCAATATTCATGCTGTACAACAGAGGCAGTGTTGGCAGGCGTCTCGACAAGTATGAACAAGACCATCTGGGAAGAATTACCATCACTGTAATGAAAAGCTAACCGTGATTTATGCAAGGTTCCATTCTGCTGTTCCACCATCTCATAACGATAAGCATTTTATCATGGTGAAACACATACCGTCTCTGTCTGCTCCCTTCCCCTTTTGCTTGTGCTCTCAGAGGACTTGAAGCAGGATGACTAATTAACAGCATTAGTCTCCATAATTCAGAGGAAAACCATGATGTCCAACTTCTGATAGCAAAATCAAACTCATATGTGGGTGTGACACATGCATCAATGTGGTGAATCCAAAGCATCTCGTTTTAATTAGATGACACTGTGACATCAAGGCCTGAAGCACAGCGCTGTCTCACTGACCACAATGAAGATCCGGCTGTTTTCTTTAGCTCATCATTCATGTTTTCTTGTGCAGGACTGAATATAACCTGACTTGCTCAAACATTTGCATGCCGAAAGGCATTTTTGAAGTCACACTGAGGATGAAATCATGAAGGATGTCATATTAAGGGCTAACAATGGCACGAATATTCAACATTTCTCAATGGCTTTCTGTGTTCATCCGGCCCAAAACTTGTGATCCGATAATGACGGCTTCAGTAGCATGAATCCTGACATATCTCACTGTGTGAGATGAATTACTCAATCTTATATAAACCTCTAATTACTGAGCAGTCACTTATGGATTTCAGATTAACTGCATCCACACTAATGACTCCAGGGAGCACTTGGCAGGCCTTGCAGTGTGTTCCCTTGCAGTACGGCTTAACTGTGAAGGTTTGGCCTGCACGTGCAGTCATCAAGCTGCACAGTGTTTTGCACCTAAAAGACATCAGCATCTTTTTCGTCCCTCTGACATTCAGTTTAAACAACAGTGCGCAACACATTTGGCAGAAAGTGAAAAGCTGATATCCTGCCCTCTTAATCACACTAATGGGCACACATTTATTTCCACTCACACACAAATAGACACAAGTCACACACACTTGCACTAACACATAAAAATGTATGATAAAAAACAGCAACCTTGCCTGAAGCAAAAAAGGTATGACAAGACATTGGAACAAGACACTTGAAAGACATTTACCATTCTGTTTTCTTTGGCCTCTCTCAAATGTGCTTTCACAGCACCGGGAACCTGAGCTCACTCTGGGAAGAAATACCAGAAAATATTGGAGAAGATGGGGTAAACACAAAGAGTTTACCTTTGACTGATGAATCTGGATGCCATAGAGGAATATATTTTGGAGCTTGGCTGCTGAAGCCAGGTCCATGATTGCCACTTGCTCTGCCATCGTCCTGCTGATGGACAGCTCATCCGAACTGCTCAAATGCACCTATCAAAACAAAAGTCATTGTGCCAAATCAGAAGACGCTTGCCAACTGTGAATATCTCTTACCAGAACAGCAATTATGCTCCTTATTGTGGAGCAATTACAGCTCATTGTTCAAGCAGTCATTTAAAAATGTTGCAACTCAATAGGTCTGTTTATTTAAGGTTGTGCTCGGGGAAAAATTGGGAAGCTTTTGCTATGCCAAGAGTAAACACAGGTTGGTTGATACACAGTCCTGTCTGAGGGTAAAATGACTCTTTCATTCAGTTGTATGGCTTCTGGACTTTATTTTCTCCAATTAGGGAAGCTAATCCACACACAATGATTCACTTAACAGTGTCATCCCTATTCAAAGCTTATAACCGTTCCCCTGACAGAATGCTACGTCAAGATTTATTCACTGCAATTATTTTGTCATATATACTTAAAAACTGTGACAGTGAGACAAAATAGTCGAGAGAAAAGTTTCACATGTCAAGACATGCGTTCTAAATGTGTTCAGTATTTATCACACAATGGATTATCACATAATGGTCATCTAAGCTATTTACATCATAACATGCAATTGACAGCAGACTGGACTGGAAATGCAACAACGATTGCAGGAAGGAACAGGAACGGGAACTTTAACGTGTGCAGGAAGATGTTTCAGATCTTCTACCAGCCTGTTGTGGCCAGTTCAATATCCTTTGCTGCATCAGAGCAAGTGACACCAGGAAATTGAACAAACTGATCAGCGAGGCTGGCTCTGTGCTGGGGACTTCTCTGGAGCTGGCTGTGGAGAGGAGGATGCTTCACAATTGCTGCACATCACAGAAATCACCCCACCCCCCCTTCACCATCTCCTGGTCAAATAGAGGAGCACTTTCAGCAGGACAGAGAGCTCCTCTTATCGTTACCATACAGTACATCCATACATCCATGTACATTTATTTCTGTTAATATTCAAACTTATCCACTGAAAAATGCACGTTAATGGACAGATTTTCCAGATTATCCATCCATCTGACTACACAAATGCACAGCGTGCATATGTGCATACTGTAGGTCTTCCCAAACCTAAAACCTTCAGAGTGTGTGTTTACATGTGTGTGTCTTTCTGTGGTTGTGTAGACAAAATTTTGTTCCATCGTAGGATGGATATCCATAGGATATTTGGGCCCATCCTCACAACTTCAAAACTGTTTTTTACATTTAGAGTGAAATGTTTCTTGCAGCAGGTCTGATCAGGCGGTAAGCGTGGCTGGGGTAGGATGTTCCCCTGGGAAGTGTACCATTTCCAAACAGCTACATGGCTCCTCAAGACACCAGAGATGAAGTTTTTAGAAGCAGGAGGAAAAAAGATAAGGTTTGGCTCGCTGCTGTATTCATGAACATGCAAAGGAAAGTTAATTCAAAGTTTGGGAAATGATCCTCAGATGTGCTGAACCTCCAGAACACACAGACATGCAGTTGCTGTTTATAATTAAAAACAATATATATAAGAATATTAATAACCAGTACATACTGTTAAGGAGCATCAATAACAATGGTATTCATAAAATCCTAGCAAGACTCAACCCTAGCGAAAGTTTACCTTACAGAGACATTCAGAAGTCAGTTTGATGGACATCTGTTGTCACTCGTCATTTTTGTTAGTGTAAAATTCAAGTATGCCAATTTTCTTTGGTATACTATACTGAAAAAGTACACTGTGACTATTGGTGTGTAGTACATACTGTATACAGTTAGTGTGTGAAATGGATTTGGGACACAACTTTCGTCTTGTTTGTAAAACCACAGCATCAGTGTCTTTGTGTAAACTCACCCAAACGATGACGAATGGGTGCAGAGGAGCTCGATTTGCTGCCTTGAAATCTGTCAGGATGGCCTCCACCTCAGACAGGCAGGGGAGACTGCCCTGAAGACCACCAAAATTAAAAACCAGATAAGAACCTTTACAGAAAACTTTCCATTCTCTTTGTGATGAAATGGCATGATAAAAAATATGCCGGAAGCTTTTAGGAAATCTGAACATCTATGGCCAGGACAGATCATGAATATTTACACTGACATACTTTTATTTCTCAGAAAAAGACAAACTCACAGAAACGAGGATGAAGTTCCACTCCGTTAACAGATAGCTGCCATTGTCCCCCTTCAGATCCGGGATAACATTCAGCTCCTGTAACACAAAGATACCCTGACCTTAAATATTCAGCTTCTCATGGAGTGATAACGTTTAAATCAGGTGCTGCAGAACCAGGGCCCTAATGCTTCTGAGTGACTGATTGACTCAAAGGTCAAGAGCCTTCTGGTTTTCGTTCCAGTCACTTCTTCAATCATTTATTGCAAGAGTGCACCCACCTGCTTCTGTGCTATGAATCGTTTGATGATTAGGAAAAAACGGGATAAATAATCTAAATGCACTCAGGGAGTATGCAACTGAGTGGCTGATTTCCATCAACTGTAATCAGAAGCTTATTAAAATAAATGGAAGAGGTTAAAAAAAAAACAGCTTCAAGGCTCCTTTATATACTTCTGAACTGGAAGGAAAATGTCGTCATACAGTATGTAAAGGGGAACAGCAATCATACACAAGCCAACATGAATTTCATTACACTGCAAATGGAATCGAAGGCTGACCTACAGCCAAGAATCATAAAAGCTTTGTTGTTCAGAGAACCAGGACACTTAGGTTGTGATCTTTCCAGTCAGTTTCAGACCTGGCACTGGAGTGACACGAGGCCACCAGACAACATATGTCCAACACGACCACTTTACATTCATCATTGTTGTTGTGCTTCTAAATGCAGCCTGGTGTCACTATTTCACACACACACACACACAGGAAATAAACACCGAAATAAACAGTTTGGGTTTGGCATTAACATACAGCTGTTCTACTCATTAAATGACAGTTTCTGGAAATGTGAATGGTGATGGTAATCATATGTAGGAGGAATAATTGGTCTTGAAAGATGGCTTCAGGATGGAAATCATTTCCTTGGGTTGGGGTCCACTTGTCTGCTTAAAGGTGACTGCAAATCAATACAAAGTTGTTGTGACTGATCACCTTTATCCCATAATAAATCATTTCTATCCTGATGGGAGTGGTCTCTTCCAGGATGACAGCGGCCCCATTCAGAGGGCACGAAGGGTCACCGAATGGTTTGAGGAGTATGAACATGATGTGAATCATATGCTGTGGCCTTCACAGTCACCAGGTCTCAACCTACAGTAACTGAACATCTATGGGAGGTTATGGACCAACGTGTTAGACAGCGTCTCCACTACCATCAGCATTAAAACATCTTAGTGTTTACCATCATCCCATTTTGGCCACGGTGGTTGGTGTTCAGCAAATGCTACATAGGCTGGTATTAAAAATAGTGTTTTATGCCACGTTTCTTGGCAGACTAGCAGCAGGATTTTCACAACTCAGATGGAACACAACAATTATCAATGTAAGTAGCTGACAGACATAAAAAGTTCATCTCTTGGTGCAGCCTGTGCTCAAATATTTTCCTTGGGATCGGTCTAAATGACACATAGGCCTTATAGGCTGAGGTTAATCACTAAAACCCTTCACTAAGTTGATACATGTGTCTGAGGAGTCTCTTGGATGTGGACTGAATATGAGAATATCATGAATCAAGATAAAAGAAATAGCAAAACAAATCCTTCTTTCCTTGTGTTTATGTGCCCATAGAACATCAGATGTGCTCAGCTTTGTCCCAACGTCACTACAGCGAAGTGTCGCACTAACTGAAGGCTCATAATTGTGTAACAAAGAAGGAAAGCACCAGTGACAGAGTGCAAAACTGGTTCAACATGGCAGAACTTGTATAAAGAAAGTTAGGGTTTTCAATTCTGTTAAAAAGTGCAGACAGACATTTAGTTGGTTTGGCTAATTATGACATTTGTGTTATGTTTTTTCTACAGTTCTTTTCACTGCTTATGAAACATTACCACCCCAGCTGCACCAGTGAAGACACTCAGGAGGTTTCAGGTGTTAATCTGTGCAACTGTGTAAATGTGAACAGTCTTGAAAAACAGACAGTGCTGTCCTCACAGTGAAAGTTCCAGGCTGATAATACAGGCTGAAAAAACTCAAATGCTCTCAAAGAAAAAACCTGCCAGTTGGAATGTGGTGTTTTCAGGAGTTAACATGACAAATTCATTTTTGCATAACTTACACATCAGCTGACAACTTTCCCTTCTCTCTGTAAGCCTGGATTTAAACTGGATCAAGTGTATCTCTCAGGTAACATCCTGCTGAGAAAATCCCTTAATCCTATTCTTACTCACCTGCACACACACACACACACACACACACACACACACACACACAGAGCATTTTTTCATTCCTTGTGGGGACGTTACATTGACTTACATTCATTTCCTGTAGACTTATCCAAACCTTAACCATAACCACTACTTGCCTAACACCTAACAATGTGAGTGTGTTAACAGGTTTCGGTCCCCATAATGTAAGAAATACAAAGGCACACACAGACAGAAGCTACACTCTGAGTTTTCAGCTGAGCGTGGGCTTGTTTATCCCTGTATTAGTTACACAAAGGTAATTCTTCATCTTCTGCTTCTTCCACTCACCTTTCAACTCCCACTCCATCCTTCCGCCCTCCCACACTCCCTGAATAGTTTGTATCTGGTTCCAAACACATGCACCGGAAAAACAGAGTTACAGGTTATGTGGCTTGCTCAGTTGTTGTGATGAAGGAGAGCACTTCACCTGTGAAGCCTCTGCATGGTCTGTGCCATCAGATTTAATATCTCACTATCACTAAATCATCACTTGCACCATGTAGATACACTCCAATTTGGCACAACCCTGATGTCCAACTGCATAATAACCCTATCTATTTCCCAGCATGGCAACACAAAGGAATCACTCACTTACATCACCTGTTTGAAAATAACCAGTTCATATCATTTAATACACTGATCCAGAAGTACAGAGTCCTGAGAGGACAGTTCCTCCAGTACAATCAAATAAAATCCATAATTAAATCAAAGATTATTGTAACCAATAACCCACTACAGCCTTCCAAATTAATTGAAGAAATTATAAAAATTACATCCTCCAAGAAAATAATATCCAAGCTATATAAACTCATATCAAATACAGACTCAACAATAACAATACCAAAACTCAAATGGGAAAACAATTTAACTCTCTCCCTCAACTCCGACTTCTGGACAGAAATTTGCAATAACATCTTTTCTATGACCAGCAATGTAAACTTACAACTTATACAA